AATGCCCCATTTCCCACCTCCCAGGAGCTGCTTGAGAAGACGCCCGTAACTAAGGAATCCTCAGCTAGGAAGCATCTATCAAAACAACTTCTCAGATTCATTTTCTGTTCGTAAAGCTCACTTGATCTGGAGTTACTGATAAGAGTAGCATATTTAATATCGGACTGCCTTGTAATTTCTCCGCTGATTTGGTCATCGCGGGAGCTCTCGGAGAAGCTGCTACTATTGAAATGGCTGCTAGAGCAAGCAGAGTCATGTTCAGAGTCTTGAATCTTTGTAAACATTGAATCAATTACTAAAAAATCTGGTGTGTCTTCTTTTTTCAATGCTTTAGTAACACTGATGTCTTCCAGCACTATTTCTGGTTCCAGAAGAGGCTCAAATGACATAGCTTCACGGTGCTTGATAAAAAGATGCTCAAAAGTTTCAGGCTAGAAGAAAAGATATATTTTAATGCTCATCTATTATTTAATCGCTTTATTTCAGCATGAAGCTACTAATTTTAAGAATCACAGAAAAAAAACCCATAGTTTTAGTAAGGGTATACAATTGAAAATCCTCTGGAACACATTTCCTCTTTTCTTTATGTCTGTGCGTAGGTGAAGATGGAGGGACAAGACAAGAAAGCGAGAACCTGTTTGCGTGTGAAATGCTGCGAAGCAAGTGCTCTGCGAAGTGCTCAGTACTCCAGCCAAGACAGCGTATCGCTTAAGCTGAAACAGCAGCAGCTGAACGGGCCCTTTCACTTCAACATTAATAAACATGCACATATTGTTAAAAACCCACGCAAGTGCTTTGCGAGACAAAGGTCTTACACCCTTCGATTTCCTTGGCTTTTTATTTAGTTTGTATAAACAATAGTCTTAATCATTTACATGTCAACTAAAGTAACTTTCCCTGCTAGGATTGTATTATTTAGGGTGAAACTCAGCCCTTCCATGGTATTCTTAAAGCATTCCTGTCTGAATAGCAGCTCTATGCTTGAACTGCTTGAAGAGAAACACACATTTATTTTGGAGAAATGTATGATTTACTACTACCTAATATATATGCACGTAAAAGATACAACAGCATGAACTGACAGCAAAACTGGAACTCCTAGCTACAAAGGAAAATTCACTTGAAGAACATGTATTTCCTAATGAATTCAAGACAAAACATAGATAAAAACAGATTTTGTGTATATTAGCAAAGCATATTTTACAGCAGGAAAGCTGCCAAAGCAACTAGGAACATGTCAAAATACTTAGACTAGTATACAATTATAGAAAAAAGTAAACTAATTTGCATATCTTAGGCTGTTACTTTAGTCCAGAGTCGGTAGCAGTAACGCCTATGCCCTCGCGTGGCAGAGCTGGTGTCGAACTGCATCGGTTCCTGCCCCACACAAGTCCATCGCCTTCCTACACTGAAACCAACCCGCACACTGGAATCTCTCCTAGTCTTCCAAATGATGTCAGAAACCACATATAAAATTAACCAGCTACTGGAATGAGCTGTAGGCTGCTACGATACTGTATAGGGTGTATATATATATACACACACTATATAGTGTATATATAAACTATATAAAAATCGGGACTCATATTGCCCGATGAAGGCAATCTTCTCTCTCAGAGGTGTGCTGCGAATTGACACAGGAACTCAGGCACTGCTGCGCCAGAGCAGACCCACAGCCCGTTCAGTGTACGCTGCCCACAGCGGCATTTCCAAACGGGAGACACATTATCGGGAATCTTCGGAATAACCAAAAAAGCGTGTTTCCTCCTGTCACACCTGCCCTCCTACAACCAGCAGCTGGTTTATCCTCAACGGAGATGGTTTATGTTCCTTCCAAACTCTGCTTGCTCCCTCACCCCAGCCCCCAGTATCGGCTCTTGCGAATGCATACGGGTACCGCAGAAAACATACAGATAATATTGCCAGCAAAGATTAAATACATCACATGCAAAGGCAGGTACGTTGTTTGGCAAAGGCCACCATCTGTTAACTCAGACACATCACTTATTAAAATGTCAGATATTTAATCAAATACAATGCATAATCCAACGTCCTGAGAAAATGTAAAACTATAGCACGTCAGCAATGGCAGAGCACACTGGGTGAACAGTGCTGTATTTCCACAGCATAAGCAGGTATGGCTAAATTTGGGCACAAACTGTGTTAAACAACAGGCAAAGTAGTTCCGTAAAACTCAGGAGAAAAGTCATAACCTCAGGTCACCAGTTCCCAAAGTCCGCTGACCAGATGAAACAAGATCCAAACAAACACGGCATTTCAAACCCCCCTGTATTTTGCTCTCCTGGTCAGTCTCGGTTTTAAGCTGCATTTGTCGCATACGCAACAGAGTACCTCTGACCTACAAGCCTGTTACCACGCCTGAGACAGGTTAAAGTCAAAATTACTTAGCGCTTTAGTTGCTAACCAGATATATCAAAATATGCTACTGGCCTAATTCTGCCAAGACCAGATTGCTACTTTCACATATATTTAACTTTACACATTGCAAATAACCCCATGGACACAGTAGGGTAATTTAGATACGCACCAGTCTTTGCCAGACTGATGTTAACTTCCCTGGAAAATATTTGTAGTTGTGCTTAAGTAATTTCTTCAACATTAGGTCCTAAAGCTTTTTTATTTTTCTTTATTATTTTATTGAGCAAATAAGAGGAATTTTTAGGATTTTGACATTATGCATCCAGATAAAGGCTCGCAAGACAGAGCCTAGATGCAAGACTCGCCTTTTTTAGATTATGATTTTAACCTCTTGCTGCTGTAATACGATCAGGATAAAATAATACTCTCTAAATGCAATTCTGGAGTACCAAATACCTAATCTGCCACACTGAATATACAAAGGAATGATCAGATGTTGACTCAAGGATTTAATATTGATAGGTACCAGGACAAGACAGGATTTCTACATCAAGTGCCTTCAGAAAGACATCAGAACTTTCCAGCAGTGGTATATAGGCTATTTACGTAATCAATGCTTATTACAACTAAGGAAAAATACCATACACATACTGTACATGGCTTTTTCTACTGGAAATTCCATACACATGCACAAAAGCAGGATTTGGCCCTAAACGTATGGTTTCAACGAACCTGTTCTGGCCTTGGATGCTCATGAGGTGAGAGATGATCATGCTAATCTGAGGACAGGCACTGTGCGTTCAGCACGGTTAACATTAAACAACACTTTCCAGCAAGATTAGTACAACGTATCGAAGAGACGTGCTTTCTACTGCGTAACAAGCTGTCAAAAATCATGTCAAACTTTAATTTCTTTCATACTTGTGTGCCTCATTTCTCTGCCATTAATTATGGCATAATGCATAATCCAAGACCTATGAATATGGAGCAGCATCACCAGGGTGTCAGCTTTACCCTCCTTTCCTAGTTAAAACTTCATCAACTTTAATACGCTTATTTCAGCTCTACCACTCTGAGGAGAATCATTTCCAACGCGCTAAATCCAACACGCAAACTTCATGCACCTCTGCAATCGGGGACAGTGAGGATTGCCACGAACTCCTTTTGCTATAGATGAAAAGATTAAATAGACAAATACAGGTACACCAGTGCAACCCATACTCCTGCCAACTAACAGCTGTTCCGAAAGCCCAGTCCTTCCCAGGGTGCAGCCATGGAAGCAGCCATGTCAGACTGGACTGGGATTTAACAACCTGCGCAAGTAAAACACACTTAGCTTTCTAGACCAGGCCAGAAGCAGAGGCTCTGCCACCATCACCCAACGTGACTGCTGCCACGAGGCTGGAGAACGCCCACTCTTCCCTCCATCCATCCCACCACAACTGCATCTTCCCCAACAGAAGGATCTCCAGGAGCTTCATTTGACATTAAAACATACAGCATAGTGCATCAGAGAAGTACTTTAGCACATTAAAAAGCCACAAAAAAATTAAGTGGAAAAAAAAAAATAAGCAGAGACTGCCCTAACACAACCAAAATCAATTTTCCTTGAGGATTTCTGGCTTGTTTTTTTCAAACACAGATCTAATGTTAGAGATTATTCAGGCATCTGCATTGATGTGGCTGCATGTTTAAATGACAATGAATGAAGAAGCCATGTAAGTAACATGCACATTGGTATCTTCAGGAAACAGCAAGCAAACAAACGAAAAAACAGTAAGGCAAAACACACACGCAGTTTCTGCATTCTCTGAGCTGCTGCTGCACCCAAATGTATGTAAAAAGTTCAAAAGACCGTAATGGGACAACCAAGTACTTGTGCAAATAAGAGATTAGATCACTTTGATGTGCCGGAGTCAGTGGAAACTCCCAAGGTAGCTCTCAATTAGAACAAATACTCAGTTAGAATAAAAAAACACTTTCAAGTGAAGTCGATAACTGGGCAGATCTTGCATTCAAGCTGGACAAATCCCAAACCAGTCTGATGTCTCTGCTGCCACGGCTGCACCCTGGGAAGGGCAGGGCTCTTTCAACTCCTTTTGAAAGGCAGCGGTTGGAAGGATTCAGCCCTTCGCCAGTCACAGCCTTAGTCCGTAGGGCAGTAAACAACAGATAAAACCACCAAAGCTAAAGTAAATGCTTCTGCCTGTGCAAGTGACAAACTGACAAGCTGTGTTTTGGTCTGTAATATGGTACTTGCTCCTAATTTTCTGCGAGGGCATTTTAGATTTTTGACAGAGCTACTTCCAGGATTCGTTATAGTTAAACAAATCAGTATTGTATTGTGTCTGTTTTCTGCATATAAATAGAAAAATCTTCTAACAATTCTGTAT